GCTCTGCCTCAGCAATCTCTGAAGTATATAACTTTGTACTTTTAGCCCAGTACCTGAAACTCTACCTAAAGCTCTGTGCAGTTTCTCAACTTTTCAAACACTACTTTCTGCGCAGTTTCTCAGGCTCTTGGCCACCAATTACAAATTGGCAAATGCTTTGAAAGCAAAAGCAGCACCAAACATCAGGCTTATACCTCTCTGGGCTTTGCTTCTGTCTAGGAACTTGGGTCTTTCAGATACTCACTGTCTTGGTAGGTCTCCAGTGTCTTCAAACAGAATTTTAGAAATTATTTTATCCAGCTGTTCTAGTCATTCTCAGTAAGAGTATTCTCTTTTATATCCTTATCTGGATAACTGGAATCAGAAGTTCTGCAGTATATTTTTGGAAGGTGAGTGAAGTGTTAAACTTGGCACTAGCTGCTTTCCAATTCTGTATAACTCCCTGCAGTGTGCTATTATGTTTGAACTATTAATCACTAAGAGCCTTAAATGTGACAAATTCTACTTTTAAGCATAACATGTCATCAATTTTATGCCCCAAATGGATGAAATGAAATTTTATAAAATACTGCATACTAGGGTTTATCACTCAATTAAAGTAAAAGAACTAAAGAGAAGAACCTAATTTTTTCCTATTTTAACTCATTTTCAAGAAAGTAAAAAAAAAAAATTTACAGCTCTTCAAGTTCAAGAATTGTTTTAATCTTGTAGGATTAATAATGCAAGTCTCTCCTTTGATAACAGTAGGAGATATTTGTGATTATGCCTGCTTAAATTTATAGTCTGTCTTGCTTGAGGGCATGTGAGTGCTTTATGATTATCAGGAACAAAATCATTACAGCTCAAAAAATGAAAGAAGTTAACTTTTCTTAATCATCTGCAAAGTGCCAGGCATTATGCCAGAGGCTTTGCATGTTATCTTATTTAATTTTCATAATAATCCTAACCAACAGAATTATTATACCTATTTTATAGTTGACAAAACTGATAAGGAAAACTGAAGATCGTGATTCAAACTCAGATGTGTTTGACTCTAAACTCCATGTCATTTCCAATTATACCAAACTGCTTATATAAACAAAAGATTTGGAAGTTCTCCAAAAGTTAGCAATTTGTGACTTGATAACTACCCATAACTAAGTCTAAGAAAGCTATTGTTTCCCTTTTATTTTTTATGAAAATGCACAAAGATTTCAGTAAGACTGCTTATTGTAGAATGACAATCTACATGACAATCTGATCTTGCTTGAACGATTTACAGAACCCCAGCTTATTGGGGAGATGATTCATCCAAACTAAGTGCTCTTAAAGTTTGTCTGTAGTAAAAGGGAAGCATCTGTTGTGTGCAGTGAATATGAAAAGGATCACAGAAAAGTAGCACCAATTGCCTATTTCCCTATTTCCTCATTCATGTCTCCAGGAAAGAACATTTTCACATGTTTAGGCATGATTTTCTTTCAGGTAGATGTGGTTTATGCTAGTCATCATATTGATAGATCTTCCAGAACCATGAATCTACTCTTTGAGAACCCATCTGCATCTTGGGAGACACAAAGAAGAGTTGTATCTTAGAGTGTCACGTGAACTGGACAGGTGTAACACTTTTTGTGTCCATCCCCAATCTCTTGTCCTTTAGAAAAGTATCAGCTTCTCATTGGTCCCTATAGTTCAAGGCTATTTCTTACTAAAACCCAAACAAAGGGAAATCATGATATAATTAATATTGGCTCAACTGTTTTAAAATATTACTGGTGAGGTAAGGGAAGGGGGAATCTTCCACTTCCAGCCAATGGAGACATTGGTTTTCGGACTTGTCCTCCTACTGTGAAACTGGACAAAATATATGAGACAACTGTATTTAGGCAGTGGACAATAAGGACAGCAGGACCATGATTCCTCAAAAAATGGAGAATACACAGATGAGCCCTGTATACAACTTCCAGAGCAGAGACCAGTGATATCACTCAGCTGAAGAGCCAGAGATAAGAGTTCAGAATTCAGGGATGATGAGGGGTCTAAAGTTTGTGGGGCAAGATACCAGAAAGGGAGAATCTGTGTGAAGAGTGGGGACCCAGAAGTCTTCACGGTGGTTCCCTTTGGGTCCTTGATGGGAGAGTAGGCTGCAAGTAGACAAGGCCTATCAAAGAGCCCCTGCTGTGACAATGAGAGTGAATGGAGAGGCTGCAGAGTGCTGAGACATGCTTTAATTCTGGTTCAGCCAAAGTGAAGCAACCTCACTGAGCATTTATATGAAACCTCAGAAATGCCATGCTTTAAGAATAAGGACCACATACTAAGACTATTTACAAAACTGAAATAGATCTGCCTTTAAATATCATAAAACCAATTTGACAGGATCAAAAGAATCTACCGCATATTTAGTGCCTTGCTAGTACAAAACTCAGTATCCTTTAAAGAAGGACAATATAATCCAAACTCCCTGAAATGTGACATCCACAATGTCAAGCATAAACAATGTCGCACATTACTAGGTGTGTGAAGAATCAGGGAAATGTGATGTATTATGAAGAAAAAGAGAAGCTAATAGTAACAGACCCTGAGATGACCCAGATGTTGAAATGAGCAGACAAGCACTTTGGAGCAGCTATTATAAATATGTTCAAGGATTTTAAAAGAAAAGAAGAACATAATGACTGAATATATAGGGATTCTTAGCAGAGACATAGAAACTATTAAAAACCATGGGGGGAAGAATTCTAGAGATGAAAAATATGAAATCTGAAATCAAAAATTCTACTTAGAAAAATAATAGACACTGTATAATAAAGGATTAGTGACTTTGAGGATAGTTCAATAGAGATCATCTAATTTGAATAAAAGAAAGAAAAATATTGCAAAAAATGAACAAGAACTAACATGTGAGACAAAGTCAAGTGCTCTAAAATACATGTAATTGGTGGAAAACATCAGTCTACAGATCCAAGAAGCTCAGTGAACTCTAGATAGAAGAAAGCTTTACCCAGGCACACAACATCTTGGCACAGCATATCCAGACTATTGAAACCAATGATGAAGAGAAAAGTCTTTAAAATACCCAGGGAAAAAAAAAAAAATTACATAAAATGATCAGCAACTAATAGGAATTATCGCTGACTTCTCATCAGAAGCAATGATACCAAAAGATAATGGAACAACATCTTTAATGTACTGAAAAAATCAAAACTCTCAACACAAAATTTTATATCTCGTGAAAATTACCATAAAATGAGAATGAAATAACGACACTTTTGAATAAATGAAAGCTGAGACAACTCAGCACAAACAGACCTGCACCATAAGAAGAATTAAAGGATATTCTTCAGGCAGAACAAATATGATGCCAAATGTGGATATACATAAAAGAATAAAGAGTTCTGGAAATGGTAAACGTGGATTAATAATAAAAGTATTTTTTCCTCATGCCAAAATTTCTTTAAAAGATAACTGTTTAGAGGAAAAATACCAACAATACATTGTGGTGTTTATAACCTATGTAGATATGAAATGAATGACACTAACATCACGGGGATTTGGGATAAATGAAATTATACTGCTGTAACGTTCGAACCTTTTACCTGAAGTGGTATAATATTAATTCTAAGTAGACTGTGATAGATTAAGATTGCGTATTGTAGTGCCGAAAGGATTTTCTTAAAAATTTAAATAGATATGCAACTTTAAAAAGTCAATAGAGGAAATTTAAAAATACATAAAAAATACTCAACCCAAAAGAGGGGAGTACAGGAGAACAAACAGAAAACAAATAAGCAAGATGGTATACTTAAACCCAAACATTTATAATTACATTAAATTCAAATTAACTGCACACTACAATTAAAAAGCAGAGATTGAATTTTTTTTTTAGTCCAAGATTGTGTAACTGGATAAAAAGCAAGACCTAATTATATTCTGTGTGTAAGAGAAACACTTCAGTTATTATGACACAATAAATTGAAATTAAAAAGATGTACCATGCAAACAGTAAGGTATCAGAGAAATTAGACTTCAGGACAAAGGAAGTATTACTAGAGACAAAGAAGGACACTTGTGATAATGAAAGTTCAGCAGAAAGACATAATTCTAAATGTTTATGTACAAAATAACTGAGTTTCAAATATGTGAAGCAAAAGCTGACAGCAAAAAAGAGAAATAGACAAATGTAGTAATTCACAGAACAAGTAGTAAAAAAAAAAAAAAAAATCCATAAAGATTAGTGAACCTTTTAACCAACTTAAACCTGACAGTTTTTGAATCCACATCCAACAACTTTAGAATGCACGTTCTTTTCAAATGTATGTGGAACATTCACTAAACAGACTATCTGCTGGTCCATAAAATAAGGCACAAGACACTTTAGTAGACTGAAATATGACACCAAAGGAATTAAATTACAAGTCAATAACATTCATATATTTACAGTTCCCAACTTTTGCATATTAAACAGCGCTTCTCTGAAAGTCTCATGGATCAAAGAAATCACAAGAGAAACTTGGAAATATTTTTAATTGAATTTTAATGAACATATCAAAATGTATGGGATGGTTATAGAGGCGCACCTCATTATATTGCGCCTCCACTTCATTGTGCTTTACAGATACTGCATTTTTTACAAATTAAAAGTTTGTTGCAACCCTACCTCAGGCAAGTCTATCACACACCATTTTTCCAACAGCATTTGCTCATTTCATGGCTTTGTGTCACATTTTGGTAATTCTTGCAATGTTTCAAACTTTTTCATTATTATTATATTTGTTATGGTGATATGTGAACAGTAATTTTTGATGTTACTACCACAACTCACTGAAGACTCAGATGATGGTTAGCATTTTCTTTTTTAGCAGTAAAGCATTTTAAAATTAAGGTATGTACAATGTTTTTTAAGACCTAATGCTACTGCACACTCAATAGACTACAGTATGGTGTAAACATAAATTTTATATGCAGTAGGAAACCAAAACATTCTTGTGACTTGCTTTATTGTAATATTCACTTTATTGCAGTGGTCTGGAGCTGAACCCACAATATCTCCAGAGTATACCTGTAATCCATTATATAAAATGAGGCACCCTGACTCCATACTGATACAAGTAAGTACACAAATAAAGAAAGCCATTTAATAAATATAAAAGGAATGATAAAATGAAAAGAAAATCACAATTTGGCAAACATCATAGTAATAGTTGAATAAGGCAACAGTCATTAATGAATGCTGTAACTGTGAGAGAAAGTTTCATGAGATACAGGATATTATTTACATAGTCTCAAAATATTTCCCCACAAAATATGTATTATTTACAAAAGGAAAAAGTTACTTTACAGTGGAGAAGGCTGGTAGACACCATGTTATTCAAATGATCAAAATGGAGCAAATAAAAATAATTTGCTGCCTTATATATTGTTATAAGAACACAACAGCCCTTCTGTGGCTTTCCTGCAAAAAAAAGTGCAAAATCTGGATCTAATCATGAGGAAATACCAATTGAACCCAAATTAAGGGACATTCTAATAACTAGCCTATACTCTTCAAAAATTCCAAGTTCACATCAGTGAAAAGACTGAAGAACTATTTTGTACTAAATAAGGAGACTAAAGATACATACCAACTAAATCTATCAAGAAACGGATCTGTGTGCTGTGTGCTGTGAATTGTTACTGGAACAATTGGTGAAATTTCAGTGATTAAGTGGGAGTAATGTTATCTATGTTAATTTCATGATTTGATTGTGGTTATGTAGGAGAATATCCAAATTTATAGGAAATAAACACTAATGTATTCAAGAGTGTGTTGGCAACTTACTCTTCAATAATTCAGAAAAAAAAGATCTTTGTACTGTACTTGAAACTTTTCTAAACTGAGAATATTTTAAATTTTCACTATTGTCACAGCTCTAGACATTGTTTCTCTGAGTAGAAGCTGTGTGGTTTTGAAGTCTATTTTTGTTGGTCACAGAAATACTTTTAATTCTGTGTCTTTGGGACCTTATTCTGCTTTTCAAAATTCAAGTGACCTCTCCAACTTAATTATTACTGTGGCATAAAAGACAGTCATTTACTACCCAAGATTGCTTCTCTGGCCCCATATGGATGGCATGAGGATGACTGTGCCTTCTGAACTTTCTCATGTTGACATCCCTAATTACCTTGGCCATTGGCACAGGACCAGTTGGAATGTCAAGTGTGTGCTATTTGATAATGCTATAAAAAGACCTATAGCTGCTGCTCTCCAGCCATCTGTGCCTTCCCTTGGCATGATACTATTGCGTAGTTTGTCTTCCGTTGGCATTATTTCTATAGCGTAGCTTACATCTGCCGCTCCTAGGCACTTAATTGGTGATCACGTTGACATAAAATAGCTTCTTTGGCACTGTTTTTATTTAGAAGAGTTTTATACCTGTAAACTTCTGAAGCAAGAATTGATATTTACTATATACATTATAATTATATACAATATTATGAATATAGCATTTTCTGACCTCTATTGACTCAAACCTGTCTTGGATTTCCAAGTTTAAATTTTCCCAGTCAGAAGTCTGTACTCTGAAGAATTACTCTATAAATGAAATGTACCTCTTCTGTTTTAAGACACTGGATTGAGTGTATACATCAACTTCTCCCTCCTGTGCCACATCTCTATAAATGATGGAACATATGTGTGTGTGGTTAAAATTTATAACTGGAATTCAAATCAAGAATACATAAGAGACCGGAAGCTGTGAGGAATCCACTGAAAACTGTAAAACACACAAAATAAGATTGAAAAAAGAAAGCAGAAACCTAAATGTCCAGATAAGATGGCTCCCAAAGTTGAAAGAAGCACCAAAAGTTCTCCATGCCCTGGGAAAGGGGATACTAGGAATCAGAAAAATGTTCCTGGGATAGCAAGGGTGATTAATCAGGTTGTAGCAAGGTGGGTGAGTGGAGAAGTCAAAGTAAGTAAATACTGATAAACCCCAGGTATTGTTAGAAAAATAAGGTGATGTGAGTATGTTAAGAATTTAAGAATATTCACCAGAAAAATACGAAGGGTGATTTTATGAACTGAATTGTGTCCCCCTGTCTTTCCAAATTGATATGTTGAAGCTGTAACCCCTAATGTGACTGTATTTGGAAGTGAGGCCTTTAAAGATACAGTTAAGGTTAAGTGAGGTCGTGGAGGTGGAGCCCTAATCCAATATGACTGGGGTATTTGTAAGAAGAGGAAGAGACAACAGGGATGCATGTGCACAGAGGCAAATCCAGCAAGAAGGTGGTCACCTGCAAGCCAATGAGAGAGGCCTCAGGAGAAACCAAACCTGTCAGCAGCTTCGTCTTGAACTTCCAGCCTCCTGAACTGTGAGAAAATAGTATTTCTCTTGTTTAATGTGCCCAGCCTTTGGTATTTTCTTATGGCAGCCCTAACAGACCAATACAAATGGCGTAACTTTAGAATCAGTAAATAAAAACACAAAAAAGAAGACTTGATAAATTATTACAGAACAAATAGGAAATAATCAAAAGGAAATAAATAAGGGTATGGCAAATAGAAAGTAAAAAATAAGCTGGCAAGAATGTCTAAGCATCAGTAATTATAATGTCAATGAATTAAATTCACCTACTGAAAATCAGAGACCACAACATTGGATTTTTAAATATCCAGGTATGTGCTGCATATATAAAACATTCCAAACCCAAAATAACATGGTTCAAATGGAAAAATATATATAATAAATGCTTCCAAAACCAACTGTCAGAAGAAAATATCTGAAGACAAAATTATTAAAAGGGAAAAAGAAGGTGAGGTACTTTTAAAGCATGTGCTCAAATTCTTTGATACTCTTTTTTTTTTTAATTTATTTATTTTTGGCTGTGTTGGGTCTTCGTTTCTGTGTGAGGGCTTTCTCTAGTTGTGGCAAGTGGGGGCCACTCACTATTGCGGCTTCTCGTTGCGGAGCACAGGCTCCAGACGCGCAGGCTCAGTAGTTGTGGCTCACGGGCCCAGCCACTCTGCGGCATGTGGGATCCTCCCAGACCATGACTCGAACCGGTGTCCCCTTTATTGGCAGGCAGATTCTCAACCACTGCGCCACCAGGGAAGCCCCAGATACTCCTCTTTTCGAAAGGTGGTGCCTTATCCTCTCATCCCCTTGAATGTGATCTGGACGTAGTAACTAACTTCAGCTATGAAGTGTGACTTCTGAAACTAGGTAATAAAATGTGTTGTGGCTTCCTTTTTGCCCCTTTCTCTCTGATCACTTGCTCTGGTGGAAGCCAGCTGCCATGTCATGAGGACATTCAAGCAGCCCTATGGAGAGGCCCTATGGAGAGGCCTGCATCTGTATGCAGTGAGATACAGATGCGTCTGATGAATGGCCGGTAAGGAACTGCATTTGCCAGCCATGTGAATGAGCCATCTAGAAGCAGGGCCTTCATACACAAACGTTCAGATGACTGCCCCTCTGGCCAACATCTTGACTGCAACCTCATGAGAGACCCTGAGTCCAAATTGCCCAGTTAAGTCTTCTTGGATTCCTGACCCTCAGAAATTATGGTATAATTGATGTTTATTGTTTTAAGCTACTAACTTTGGGGGTAATTTGTTGTGCAGCAATTGATAACTAATACAGAGAGATCCTTTATAATAACATAGTTGATAATCATAGAAATAATCCATCAAATAGAGATAGCACTATTCATTTAACTACAGAGCTGCAAAATATATTCTTAAAAAAAAAAACCTTCAAGGAAAAGTTGAAAAATCCACAAAGTGCAGGATGTTAGCACACCCTTCTCTGAAAACCATACACTGAGAAGGAAAAAGACAGTTAAGGATATTAAGGATTTTAATAACATAATTAGAAAACTTGACCTAATGAAGATATGTTTAATAAACATATTATTAAACATATTAAAGAATGCATATTATTAATAAAGTCATTTTAAATAATCATATCTAAGCCACCAAGGAAATATCAACATATTCCAAATATTTCTACCACAGAAATCATATTCAGTGACTTCTGTGCAGTAAAAGTAAAAATTAACTACAAAAAGATCACCCCAGGACTTCCCTGGTGGCGCAGTGGTTAAGAATCCACCTGCCAGGGCTTCCCTGGTGGCGCAGTGGTTGACAGTCCACCTGCCGATGCAGGGGACACAGGTTCGTGCCCCAGTCCGGGAAGATCCCACATGCCACAGAGCAACTAAGCCTGTGCGCCACAACTACCGGGCCTGCACTCTAGAGCCCACAAGTCACAGCTACTGAGCCCACGTGCCTAGAGCCCATGCTCCACAACAAGAGAAGCCACTGCAATGAGAAGCCTGTGCACCACAACAAAGAGTAGCCCCCGTTCACCACAACTAGAGAAGGCCCGTGCACAGCAGTGAAGACCCAACGCAGCCAAAAATAAATTTTTTTAAAAAAAGATCACCCTGCTAAAAAATAACATGTGCCCCCAAATTTAACAACATACTTATTAATAACTCTGGCTAAAGGTGGTCTCAAAGTGGAAATTATAAACTTATAACTTAATGACAATGAAAATATTACATTTCAAGGTCTGTGGCTTGCAGCCAAAGCAATAATACTCAGAAGAAATTTCATAGCCTTAAATTTATTATTTTTTTAAAAAGATTGAAAATAAATGACCTGTGCTTTCATCTCAAGAGAACAAAGACAAATAAATCCAAAGAATGTAGAGAAATGAAATTAATGAAGATAAAAGAATTAAATTTTTTAAAGTAGAATTTCTCAATAAAATCAAAGGCATTTTCTAGAAAAGACCTGTAAGATAATAGTTTAGAAAAATATCAAGGCATAGAAAAAGAAGACAAACACACACACACAAAAACTAGGATTGAAAAGTACATAATTATGGCAAAGGAAATTTGTTTTTAAAGAGGAGGATACTATTAATTTTGTTTTCAATTTATTTTTATCATGGATAAAAAACAGAGGGAATAAAATAATGAACTGCCATATACCAATCACCTAACTTCAACAAGTACCTATACATGACCAAACAGTTTTCATTTATATTTCCAACCACCCTACATCCCATTTTGGATTATTTTGAAGCAACGTATTATTTTACTTTAAATGCTTCATTAT